TTCGCTACCGCCATTCCATGTTCCACTCCACAGCTGCAGATTGCTACAAAGGAAAATATTGCCCGGGCAAATCTTTCTTGCTTAATTTGCTGCTTCGGTAGACTTGCTAGAAATCATTGGTCCGAGAACTGCCAAAAAATGATCATGAAACCGATTTGGTACGGTTCTAGGATAAAGGATCCGGGTCCTGGAATTATCACAACGAAACTGCATCAGTCAAGTAGCAGTATGGGTCTGAGCTTACGGAATTCGTTCGGAGGAAACTATAGAAATGCCTGGATCATCAACTGTACTCGCCAGGCACAATATTTTGTACGCCACTCTGTAGTCGTTAGGGAAGTTTTCATCATAAATTGTTCCTGAATGTGCTCACTTACCCTCCCACACTCGGGACCAAGAAGCATTTTGCTCTTTAGAAGTGCAACTAGCAGAGCACGCCATAAAGCATAGTCTGGACTAGATGTTGTTGTGGAAGAAATTCACGGTCCTTTCCCAACCTCTACCAAATGAAAGGATCTGTGATGATTGGAAATGATCTACTACATATGATTTCCATGGCCAAGTAGTGGTAATTCCCGAGTTCCTTTTCATCGAAGAAACACAAGCGTAAGGCTATTGGCAAACCACTTAGTAAGAATAACCTTCTAGGATTATTCGACTTTTGATGAAATCCTGTGGCCTCACCATCTCAAGCTATGACTCGCTATGAACTTTACCCCAGCCATCTTCCACAAAGGAAGCGGTAGGTAACAAGGCCGTTACACTGCTACTGTAAAAGTGTTCTTCTGATAGGTAGGTGCTGATCGAGGACAAGGAAACCAAAGTGGTTATAGATAAGTAAGCTAGCTGATGGCGTCCGAAGAGGGATTATGCCGAATGTGTCTTCAAACTGGTGTATCGGCGGCTATCAATTCATGACAAGAATGTTGGTCTTAAAAAAAGAAAAAAAAGGCCTGACTACGGGATGTGGGAGAGATTCTGGTCTGCCAAATGTGCGTGGCATATCGATTATGCCCAGCTTTATGTCCCAGACTTCCAACTTTCATCTTCCACGTCAGTTGCTATAGAGGAGCCGCTTCTTCTACTCAGCCGGTACCTCCCAAGGAAGGATATCCTCCCCTCCCGCACTGACTATTAGTTATAGCTTCGTCAGAACTCTGTGAGAGATATATAACCTGGATAATGAGCCTGACATGAGCATCGAGTTCGAAGGAATTGATCACGAATGGATAATCGGGTAGCTACTTCTACTACCTTTGATCTATAGTGTACTGGGAGCCTAGAACGAAGGTTACTAACACTCAGATCATCACTAAAAGAGTGTCAGGCAGGGAAAGAGGTCAACAACACCAGCTATAGTAGGTAAAGGCCCCTTACAGCGGTCAACAAGTGTTCGTTCACAAAAGATTAGAGGCCGATGTTTCTATACAACAAGGCTGCACGGCGTGTTTGTTTAGGGTTTGATGGAATATACTTGTGGTTTCTTCCTCGACCGTTTTACTATACTAATTTATATTTTCCTGATCTCTATCTGTATCTTCCCGAGGCTTGTATCTTGGATTGATTAACTCGCTCCCATTTATTTTTCTCTCTCTCCCTCTCAGCAGTTAATACCGACTATGGTATTATGTGATTATTTCGGGTAAAAGTGATCTGAACCGGAATTCCTCTGGAACGAATAGTCCACCGACATTATAATAGCTCCGCGCTCCGCACTCCGCTATCAGATCCCAACCACTCAATCTAAGCCAATGGAGACCCTGAATCCGCCGGATAGTGCCTTACCTTCAACTACACGGTTCATTGAGAATTTGATCTCGCAGCTTTCGGAACGTACTGCCAAGTCAGAAAATGAGGTCAACACTGAAAGTCAGCGTCCGTTCTCCGCCTTCCCAGCAGGCCACGCATCAGACATGAAACAACTGATGCTGACGCTCCATTGTTTTTTCCCCAATGAATTTCTACCTGCCCTGGATATTCTGGACCGAGGCCTAGTCAGGCGCTTTATGAAGGAGGACTATAGCATTCTGGGTCCCGACGCTTCCGAGCCGTTAAGCTCCGGCGAGTTAACACTGAATGGCGGGCGTCCTCCACTTGAAGACTTGTTCTTCGTCATTTCAATGTCTACGGCTCCCAATCCTCCACCTGGGGAGTCTCTACCGACATCCCTTCGTCCGAATGCAGACCAAAAAGGCTACGAAGTCCGACTACAAGCGTGGAATTGCACCTGCCCAACATTCACGTTTGCCGCATTCCGCGACCTAGGACCAGATCTAACCGGCGATGATTCGTCTAGCGGAGATCTCTCACAATCTCACCTTCTGGCCGGCGTGCATTATTATACATTCGGTGGAAGCCTAACTCGACGGTCAGTGAAGTGGTCGCATCCGGTATGCAAGCATCTCCTTGCTTGTGTATTGGCGGTGCGCTGTCCCGCACTCAATGGGCCCTCTGTAAAAGATCACAGTCGAATCGTCGTCAGTGCGCAGGAGCTAGCAGGCTGGTGTGCTGGTTGGGGTGGATGATCAGCTAAATCGCAGGCATCATAACCGTCAAGACATGGTGGCCATTCCTCGGCCATAATCTCCAGTGTGACTGCGCTATAGAATCTACATTAGAGCCGTGCACATACCAGGGGGACATAGCCCTAGCCCCCGAATAGCCTATATAGATGATGTCCCGCGGTGAACGCTATGCTACGTCATGGAATACTGGACGGCATAAATCTGGGGTCGATCTCGTGCAGAGAGGACCTGGATCAGGCCTGCTGCTCAGCAGTCTAGGTATATATTAGTAACTGAGTCAGAAACCCTGGCGAACTGAAAGCCTAAGATGCACATCTATATGTTAATAACTTCCCCTTCTCTCAGTCTCAGTTGATATGGAAGTACGGGGTTTCGTGACGGTACTCGACTTTCAACAAAGTGTTATGAATATTGACAACCGACCCAGGGCCTCAAGTCGGACATTAAAGCGATCGCCCTATTAGGCCATTGGCAAAGGCTACCAAAGCCACATGATCAGAGTAGTATTACTGCACTATACATTTAGATGTGAGACTAAGTAGTTCTAAATCGTATCACATTGACTCAATAGCCCGGCTAGCAATTTCATTGGCCCTTCTTCTTGTATTTTTCCTTGGATCCATCCAGTTCTTCCTTTTGCTCACCGTTCATGGCTCCATTCACCTTTTTCGCCTCCTTTTCAGCCTTAACAGCATTGGTTTCCTGTTCCCTCTTCAGCTCATTTTCTTCTTGCTGTTGTCGATTCTGAATCTTGTTCTCGATCAAGTCGTGGAAGGCAGTGATGGCGCGGATCAAACTGCTCAGGTAGATGGCCATTAATTGATCGTTGGTCTTTATACTCATGGCACGTGCCAGTTCGCTGTTCTCCGACTGCTGCTCCGACCCACTGAGGCGTGGTGTCGCGGGTGGGGTCGATAAGTTGGGAAGGAGGTTGAAGACATCCTGAAGATTGCCCAGTATGGCATGATTGACGGGAAGCTCATGATCGAGGACTTTCTGGAGATACTGCCCAATGTCCCGCAGGCGTAGATGAAGGCCCTGCAAGGACTGCAGCTGCGACGTTATGCGAGTGGAGAGGGTACCGACAGCGACGTCCCTAATGTCTCGGAGAAGGTGTTCAACGCCGATCTCCTCCGCTTCTTCTGCTTCGATTATGGATGGGGTGTGGACGAAGGTCTTGGATGTGGTGGTACCGTCCTGTAAATAGAAAGCCGTCCTGGTAAGCAGATGACACACAAGCAAAAGAGAAAAAGTGCATGTTCTTGTTTTTGTGCAAAGCTACTCACATCTTTGATCTCGTCCACGGCAAAGTAGGCATCTGTCGGCACGCCGACCTCCTTTGGTTGGACATCGACAATCACCAATAGTGGATTGGGAGTGTATCGTTTGAATAGCTCGTTAATTTCTAGGTCAGAAGCCCGTAGTTTCGGGCCTGAATGATACCATCCAATGAGCTTTTCACGAGCGTTAATCTTCTTGAACATGTCTCTCATCGATTCGACAAAATTATGATCTAAGAACCACACTGACGGATCCTTTTCATCCTCCTCAAAGGGAACTGATAGTAAAAGCGTTAGCAGGAGTGGTATGATGCAGGAACCGGGATAGTAACTAAGAATCAACAGCGCGACGTACCCGCAAAGCTGTTTGATACCCGAACAGTTTGACCCGAGTTCTCTCCTAGCAATACTCCCACTACACGCTTGCGAGTTCCCTTGGCCGAGCGACCATAATGATCTGCAACTGAGAGGAGCACTAACGGGGCAACAGTGACGGTCCGCGTGACGAGGGAAAGGGTATCCGCCGTGGTGGCAGGCATGGCGGAAACAGAAGACACGGGAGCTAGCTATTAAGTGGATGTGAGATGAGGTAAAAGTCGGATGTATACGTGATAGAGGTGAAAAGGAAAGAAGCCTCGGAAAGCGATATCCTGAGAGGGAGGAAGGAATGGTGATGATTAGAGGAAGGTAGATGATGACGGAGGTGAAGCTGAGTGAGCTCCGGGCCCTGCTTGAGCCACAGCAATGAGGCTGATGAACCATCTTTGTAGCCACACATTTCGCCTTGTTGCCTAAGGCTTCCTACGAACACGTGTCTTCACAATACCTGCGATGGATCGCAATTGAATAATTGCAATTTAAGCACGGACTTAGGTGAGGTATACTTAGGTTAGATATAAATCATTAGATATTAATCCTAAGCTTTCCGACGCAGTTTATCTCACCGATTCCCTGGGAATGAAATATTTCCGGTCAAGCGCCGCGAGTACGGCACTTGCAGGCGGACCTTTAAACCTCGGAGAAGCGGCTGCGATACTCCGCTCCGGTTGACCTCTTTTCATCCCCAGCATACAGTCTCCGACCTTTCCATTTACCCGTCATTGCCCCCAACCCATCTTTAATCCCTATACTATTTCCCACACCGACTTCGACTTAGGCCTCCTGGAGAGCACTTCTACTATAGTATCCCTCTCACTCTCCGCTTCAGTCTATCCCAATGGCTCCTATCACGGAAGAGGCCGTTTCCGGTCTTAAGGATATCATCAGCAAGCTCGAGGCTCGGGTTGAGGAACTGGAGAGCCGTCTCAGCGATGGGTCTAAACCCAAGTCCGTTGCAGAACAGATGCGCATGGTTCTGATGGGACCTCCCGGTGCAGGTATGAACCTATATATATTTCAGATTTCTTGTTTAAAGCCTTCGGAATTCTGACCAGCTCTTGAACTAGGCAAGGGTACCCAGGCACCTGCACTCAAGGACAAGTATTGTGTGTGTCACTTGGTAAGTAGCCGACTTCTAGATTAATGCTAGTATCTATCGAAAGGTTCTGTGACTTATGTTCACTGAGTAGGCTACCGGAGATATGTTGCGGTCTCAGGTAGCCAAGAAGACTGAACTGGGCAAAGAGGCCAAGAAGATCATGGATCAGGGTGGCCTGGTCAGTGATGAGATCATGGTCAACATGATCAAAAGCGAGCTGGACAACAACACTGAGTGCAAGAACGGGTTCGTATATGAGAGAAAAGAAGAAGAAGAAAAAAGCGGTTCTTGAACTTTTCTATCTACGGATACTGACTGCTTGTCTGCCCAGTTTCATTTTGGATGGCTTCCCTCGTACCGTTGCTCAGGCTGAGCGCTTGGATGACATGCTTGCTGCCCGTAAGCAGAAGCTCCAGCATGCCGTCGAGCTGCAGATCGATGATGCCTTGCTGGTAGCAAGAATCACTGGACGCCTAGTTCACCCGGCTTCTGGACGCTCCTACCATAAGGTGTTCAATCCTCCTAAAGAGGAGATGAAGGATGATATTACCGGCGAGCCTCTTATTCAGCGATCTGATGACAATGCTGAGACCCTTAAGAAGCGCCTTGGAACATACCATGCTCAAACCGCCCCTGTCGTGGATTATTATAAGAAGACTGGTATCTGGCGGGGGATTGATGCTAGTCAGGAACCGGGTCAAGTGTGGAAGAGCCTTCTCGGCGTTTTCCGGCAGAACTAAAAATAATGATTCTTTTTTCTTTTGCCGAGGGGTCCTTGCGATCTCTGCGTCTCTGCCGGAGAAATCAACAAAATGTGATATGGTATAAATTTTACAATGGATGGTCTGCCACCTTGGTCTTCTGCGGAGGTTCCTTTGCGATACATGGACTTTGTGTCCTTCAGGGATCTGTACCTGGGTGGCTTTCGGCGGGGGTTTGATTTGATGTATAGTAGCTAATCTCGGAACCTAAAATATAAGTTGCTTTAGACGGTCCTCTTTATTTTTCTTTCACCCCCAAACAATACGTTTAATATGTATAGTCATTGGGAAGGATATATACACGTTTTTGAACCAGGTATGCTTGTTCTCTCCACACGATACAGACCGTCTCTTACAACGGTGTCGGGTAAACTGTGGATTCAATGTTTTCAGGATAAACTAATCCACCCTGACGCCTGACCTCATCCATGACCTCCATAATAATGATGCTCTCCTCCCACGGCATGCTATCACTTTCAAGCTTACCATCCCGCAAGCACCGTGCGACCTCGTCCGCCTCCCAGTACATGCCCTTTCCTTCACCAGGGAATGAACATTCAACCTCTTTGACTTCCCCCTCCCCCTTCGGAACAACCCGGTACCGCTCTGGCCGGAACGCAGGGCCGTATATCTGGATCTCACCTTTGGTGCCCTGAATGCGGACCGAGGGCTGGACGGGTTTGTCGTCGGCATTGGTCGACACTCGGAGATGTGTCATAGCCACTGCCTGCGATTCACCTAGGGGAGGAAGGTTGGACGGAGTACTGGTGGGGAAGGTAAGGAGAATGGATGTTGCTTCATCAACACCAGTATGGTGGTAAAGAGACATATGCGATGAGATCCGTGAGGGTGCCTTGCGCGACTCGCGGGGAAGAGTGTGATACAGAGCCTGGAAGACCCAGGTCAAGGAGTAAATACCCACTGCAAGCTGGTGTCAGTTTGGCGACGCCTCCCAATGTGCGCAAAAAGGACAATGACATTGAATTCAGGTAAATACGGTGTAAATATATGCACATGATTAAGACGGTGAAACTTACAATCAAGCAACGCTCCGCCAGCCAGGTCCTTATTAACCATCCGATGCTCGGTACCCCATCTTTCCTCCACGTCATCTCCAAAGCTATTATCGGCCAGCACACGCAGAACCTCACCAAGAGTACCATCCTGAATTAAGCCACGTATCTGTACGCTAAGTGGGAAGTACCGAGTCCAGACGGCTTCCATTAAAAAGAGATTCTTCGTTTTCGCCATTTCACAGAGAATCTTTGCCTGGGCCGCATTGACAGTGAAAGCCTTTTCACATAAAACATGCTTCCCCGCTTCGAAAGCAAGCATAACGTTTTGAAAGTGGTGCGAGTGAGGCGTTGCAACGTATACGACGTCTACATTGGGATCGGCCACAAGGTCCCCATAGGACTCGTAGGCAGCGCAGGGAGCAGGAATGCCGGTGTCCGAGATAAAATCCTCTGCACGGGACTTTGAGGAAGATGATGCAACTGCAACAACTGTGTGGGAGACATCAGATGCACCTCGGACATTAGGATCTCTCAAGAGGTCTCTTACGAAAACTGTTTGTCACATATTCTTTTTAGTTGGGGCTTCCTTTATTGTAATTGGAGGGGGGAATAGAAGAGGCTGTCCAAGAACGCACCACTTGCAATCCAGCCGGTGGCTATAGAGGTTTTTAAAGAGTAGTGTTAGCTATCATCGATTGTTGCTGAGCCAAGGTTCCTCTTACCCATGATACCCCACCGAACGTTATGTGGAGCCATGATGTGAGGCGATGTATGATGCTGGATGTATGGTATTGAGAAGTAGTCGATGAGGGGAATACTGAAAGGGTGTACAGGGAGAGTTTTCAGCAGTCGATCAGAACACTGGAGGAAAAAGGGTGTAGTGGATTTATAATGGGACACAATGCAACTGTAGTACTGGGGAGGTTCAAGAGCGGAGTAAAGAAACGACTGGGGATCCACAATATTTCCAACGTCATTTGCCCGCAGCCCCTCGTGGAACCTACAAATACGTAGTACTACAGTATAGTACAATACAATACAATACATTGTTGGATGGGAAAGAAGAACCATACTTCGACTCGAAGTGTCGGGTGAAATCTTGGCTACTATGTATATATACAAAACACCCCAATTGCTGGAGTACATCGCTCTGAAGATTAATTCCGAACGCCATAGGGACTCTGTCCCAATGCAAAAGAAAGGAAAGGAAAGGAAAGGGAGGGAAGATGGAGGGCTCATGGGCTCGAAGCACGCATTTCTGACCAGACCAAGCAAAAAATGCAATTTCTAGTTCTCTTCCACCAGATGATATTCTCACATTAGCTCCAACTTGACCCGGGCATTTTGGTTAGGGGAATCAGTTCCCTAGCGCACACCGTCAGTCACTGAATTCTTCAATTTTCATTTCACGTTCAGCAAAACCTACCTCAGCCTTGCGTTTGCCCAATACAGAGTCTGGAGTTCCAGTACGCCCTGAAGGAGTACCTCGGCGTGCTGGCGTGGAACCGTCTTTAGTCACCTCTGCATAACAACTCGCATGGTACACGCGATTCCCGACTTTGACGGCATCTTGCCATATCCAGTCTTGGACATCCTCAGACCATGTCGACTCGAATTTCTCCTGGCAAATAGGACAGGGCGTATTCCGTAGAGTGGCATCGTTCGGAGCACGTATCCATTGCTTCGGTGGCCCTTTCTTCGTAGAACCACCATCGCCTCCATTTGCAACCTCACCGGGTGTTTCTGTGTCCAAAAGGCCTTCATCATCGCCCACCTCTCGGGATTTGATCCAATCCTACCTCGGGTCAGTCAAACAGCAACTCAAATCAGGTAGGTGCGAATAGAATGCTCACCCGTTCATCAACATACCAACTGCGGTTCTGGGCCCGCCTGGCTGCCTCTGCCATGCGTTGGTTAGTTCTGAAGTGCCAGTCTAGATGGCGTGCTTTCTTTTCCTTCCCATCCTCTGTTGCAGAAAAACGACGCCCACAAGTCCCACAACGATTGGGCTTCGACTCATAAAGAGTAGCTATGAAGGTATTGCGTGGTCTGTCACTTAAGTCAGTGGCGTCGGATGATAAAACATACGCATAACCTACATCTTGATAGACGCTGTGTTCATTGGAACATTGATTTGTATATTCGAATTATCGGTCACTTGAGACGTCGGCACAGGAGGTGTAAATCGCACTTGACCAGGCACAATGAAAGGAAAGACAGAAGCGAGGTTTGAGGAAGGCGTAGCGGACGTTGTTGGGGGTGCCGAAGCAGGGGGCAAAAGGCCCCGTGCTCTGAGCGCCGCAATCAGTGGGTTCTCCGGGTTTAAAGTACCAGTTGGCTGCGATATCCCACTGCTAGGCGCTTGTGGCAAGATACTCTGAGCCTGAGGCGGTGGTGTAGGCTGCTGGCGTGCAGCGGTAGTTTTGATAAGCTCAGCAAGTGTCCCGGGGTTCAGAAGCTGCTGAAGAGGCTGAGAAATGGCTTGCACGGGAGGCATTGCCATCGACGGTGCCGGCACCGCTGGAATAGCAGGGGGAAGAGTCGAAGGAACTGAATTTGGGGGGTTTGGGGAAAGCGCAGAAACCTGATCGCGCACAAGCTTCAATTGCTCCTGAGTAAGTTCCTGGCGTTGCAAGATACCCTGGAGGTCCAGAAGAGCCTTTAGCCGTTGCTGTACGGAAGGGTCGAGGGGGTTATTCGCAAAATCGCTTCGAGCAGTTGCGATTAAAGCCTCTATATCCCGATTCAAAGCTGAGAGGTTCACATCCTGCTGTTGCTGTTGCTGATGTTGAGGCGTTGGAGTTGATCGCGGGTCTGCCTGTTGAATATGTTAGATACATAAATGTAATAAGAACATGGTAAAAATCAAACGTATGGCAGCTTACCGATGGAAACCCATGACCGGGCCCATTCCTGTGATATAGCATAGGTGGCGTTGAATTTGTGGATGGAGGATAACGAGTAGAACTCTGAGCTGTTGCGCTGCTACTCCCCCAACTTGGGGGTGTCCCAACCCGCCCACGAGTAAGAACTTCCTGTTGGCTCCTCGCCTGCTGCTGCTGCAGGGCGGCTGTCCTCGCTTTGATGAGTGCACTTTCGATGCCGCGAGTAACTTCCGGAGGAAAGACTGGCCTCGTGTCTAGAGAACCAGGGACCGGCTCCTTCCATGTTTTGAGCATCTCGTCCAACTTTCTGCGAGTTGGCGAGTCGACCAAGGTATAGGCATTCATGAATGTCTGGTACATATTGCGCCCCAGAAAAAGCGTGTAGGGTGTCCCTACATTCTTGACAATTGAATCGACTACATACAAGGCGGGCAACTTCTGGGCCGGAGGCGTCTACAGAACAAAGATTAGAAGTTCATTCAGGAAGACTACTGCCGGCAATGCACCTTGCAAAATACGACACCAACAAGCGTATGATCTGGGAAAGAGTATAGCACCTACTGTTCGAATGTGATTCTCCAATACTCGGGAGATGGCCATGGCATGCTCGGTGTTCTCCTTGGCTATGACCGTTAGATTGCTGATCTGGAACCTGTCGTTCGTTGTTAGATCTTCCAATGAGTTCTTGTAATCCTCAGCGACTTCGTCGGAGGCCAGTCCTGACGACATATTGGCAAATACACAGGTGGATGCTGATCACGAAGGGGAGTATAAGGGATGAAATGAGGGTGTGGGTGAAGAACTGTATAATTCACGAGTGCCGACTGGTAACACTCAATGCTATTATATTCTTCTTCTTCTTCTTCTTCTTTGTTCTTCGGGTTGCTTTCTTCTTTCTTTCCTTTTCTTTATTCCTCTTTCCCCGTTCTTGTGGTTTGCACAGCCGATCAATTCCTCTCTCTCTCCCTGTTTTTATCTGTTCTTCTGTTCTTCTGTTCTTCTGTTCTTCTTCTGTTCCTCTTCTTTTTGTCTTTCTCCCCTTTAATGTCTTTTCTCTGCTTTTTCTTCGGATTTATCGTATATAGGTTTCTTATTCTCCCCTCCTTTGAGTTCCGAGAATAACAGTCTCCTGAAAGAGCAAGAGATGGAAAGAGATGCCGAAACTTGTAGAATGCTTGCTAGCTATCTTCGTCAGGTTTGAGACAACAACACGAGGATGCAAGACCTCCGCCCAAAATCAGAATAAGAAAAGAACCCTCGAAAACCGCCCGAATCCCTGTCAAGTCTACCTCATATGACCCTGCACCGATTGACCCTTCAACTAAGTAACGACTAGTAATATGACCCAGATCGGTATGGAGAAGCTGCGCAGGGTTATCTGGATTACCAGAGGAAGATCTAGGGCAATGTCGCAGCTCAGGAAGACTGCCGCTCAACAAAAGCAGCCGCGGATGAAATTGGGGATGAGGGAATCTTAGAAGATGCCCACCAAGTATGTAAGGAAAAGTCAAAATCCAGGTGGAGAGGGAGGACAAAGTTGAAATCGAACGAGACAGAGGAACAAGGGTAAGAATTGTGGATTGGAACGGTTATCAGACGTCAATGAAGATTATTTCGAGGAAAGGGAAAGCGCTAGTTAATTTGGGTTATAGTTCGGCGGCTAACAAATGTGACTGGTGGCTGAGTCAGCTGCCACTTAATGACGCAGTTGCTGATTCAGGGGTCGTATTGCAACAGGATGGTTCATCAGTTAGGTAGGAACCAAGTACTAGCACTGGTATCAGACAACCCTGTTCTACTCAGTTTCTTCCTTAAGCTTCCCTATCCATATTTACCATTGTACTTCAGGATATCCATTCTATTTACAGGGAGTGCCATATGAAAATGAAGTCGCTCCCCGCCCTGCTTCTCGGATGCCTGACTCTGTCTTTGGCCAATCCGATTGTGGTCACTTATCCTAAAGACACCCCTCCATCTGTCCTAGAGGATGCAATGAAGTCCGTCATCAGTGCTGTATGTTGTAGACCGTTACGGATTCTGTACTGACTTGGCATACTGATCCTTTTCATTCCTAGGGTGGACATATCACTCATAAGTTTGGTAAGTACCCATGAATCCCTCCCGACGAAAGACTGATTATATGTGCATCAAGGACTAATACGCATCCTCCTGCCTAGAGATAATCAAGTATTTCTTCCCTTTCCCTTATCGTTCACGCTCAGCAGCAACTTCTAACAGCCTCTTAGCGGCTTCTCGGCAGACGCTCCCGAATCGGCGGTTCAGAAAATCTCAGTCCAATCTGCGAAGTACAACCCGACAATTGAGAAGGATCTCACAGTGTCTATCCAGTAGTGATCAGAACCATGGTGTTCGAAGAAGCTTTCCCTGCGCATCCCAGCGGCCGTGCTGGTCTAGGGACTGTTCGTTCCGTTAGATCACGAGAGCCAACATGAGCAGGGCTAACGAATTATGATTGTTTATGACCTCATGGGAATTGTTGCGTTGGTATTTTAAATGCAATAGTCCTAGTAGCGCTTCCAAAATTGTTATTGTTGTGCGTGTAATGGATGGTATTCGTGCGAGTCGTCGATATTTATCCTGCTATTCCTTGACGCATCTGTTAGAAGAGAGAAAACCAACCGGACGCAACCGCATGCGCTTCTTTTAATCATTGCCAGTGGTAAACTGTAGCGCGCAAAAAACACGACAGAAAGAGAGAAAAGAAGAAGGGAAAATCGACAGGGGCTACTATTTAAGTTCCAAGCCCCTCCGCGGCTTAGAACTACTTAAATCATACTAAATAATCTATTTATGCGCGTAGCGTGGATCCCACTTAGGATCCCGCGAAACTGCGAAAGAACACCTTCAGAGTCTTTGCCGATAACTCGTCAACCGACCTGCCCCTCTTTGCTTCAGAAGAATGCGATTTTACGTGCAGTCTCATCGTCCATCGCCCTGATATCTTGTTGTCTGACCCCTGAAGCATTCCCCGACCCAACTGCCTTTTAGGCCAACATGGCTTCTGAACACACTATCACACAGGCCCTGTTGGAATGGATCAATAGTTTCGCCCTTGGCAAAACAATCCGAACGACCGATGAATTGACAGATGGGACCATCATTTGGGAAGTCTTACAAGATATCGACCCCCAATATTTCCTCGATGAGCTACCGCAGCGCAATCCGTCGGACCATTGGTTGTCCAAACTACAGAACTTGAAACACATTCTCAAAACGCTGGTCAACTATATCCGCCAACAACCCGACGGGATTCCTTCTGGATTGGATCCGGCGCCAAATTTGGAAGTGGTCGCTGAAAAGAGTTCGATCAAGGAAACAAACAAACTCCTCAAGCTCATTTTGATCGCCGCCATCCGTTCGCCGAACGCGCCGTCCTACGTGGAAACTCTCCAAACATTGAGCACTCCGACCCAGGAATCCCTGAAAGATATTTTCGAAGAAGCCGAAAATGGCCAACACGAGCCTCTTGACCCCGTGGACGAGATCAAAGAGGACTTGTCCAAACGGGAACATCCTGTTGATCTAGAGCTGCAATTCGAGGAACGAGTAGGGAAAGTGCTTGCTGAGAATGACCGTTTGACGCATGAGAAGAAGGAGCTCGAGAAGGCATTGGAGGACCTACATAACCGTCTGGCACGCCTTCAAGAGAATAACGATACTCTCCAGAGCCGCCTCGCGACCACGGAGGATCGACTAGGAAATCTGAAGTCCGGCAAAGGCGACCTTGGTTTCAATACGAAAGCTTTAGAGTCTAAATCGCGCCAGCAGGAAGACATCATCGCATCCCAGGAGGCTCGGCTCGCGGCGGCCCAGGATGAAGTTGACAGCCTGCGAATGACAGTAGAGTCCTTGCGCGTGAAGAACGAACGGTTCCAGAGGTTGCAGGATGACTATGATGAGTTGAAAACAGAAAGAGACCAACTCGCTAGGAAGGCCAATGCAGCGGAGAAATATCGGTCAAAGCTACAAGCCAGTCAGGATTTTGAAAAGGAGAATCAGACGCTCAAGAATCAGATTAAAGACCTCCAACAGCAACTGAAAGAGTCAGATTCGCAGCAAAGGTGGACATCGGAACGCGATGTTGAACTTGAAGAATATAGACGAGTCTTGCCACGAATCGAACAGGAATGCAGTGAAATGCAGAGTTTGAAGAAGCAACTCGAATTCAATAACCACGCCCTGACAGAGCGACTTAGCAGTGCTGAGGAACAGCGTGAGAGAGATGATGCACTAATTAGTGAGTTACGGGAACGGATCCGAGAACTTGAAGGCTCCCCTGGGAGCCCAGCTCTTACGCCAGGCAGCGAAATGCCAAAGCTGCAGGGCACGCTACAAAAGGACTTTGAAGACATTGGCGTTAAGGAATCACAATTGTTAGTGCTCCCTGTCTTACCCTCCAAGTATGGGCTGACTCCGCGCTACAGGAAAACCGAAAATGATGAGCTCAAGAAAGAGGTCGAATTCTTGAAGGGAACCTCGGCAATTGTAATTTATACCCAAGGACTAGTATACAGGGGCAAAATTGGCTGACACTATGTTACAGGTTAATGCTCAGCATGAAGAGTTTTCCGATACCTTCAGTGAAACGCTGCAGAATGCGCGAGAAAATTCTACTCAGGGGTATTTCAGTCGCAATTCTCCTAACTACTACCGCTAACGGGACTTTCAGTGACGAATTTTGGAAGCTGTATGATCAGTATGTTTCTGTACTCAAGAAACTTGCGGAGTCACAAGACTCTTTCGACAAGTCTAGTAGAGCGCTTGCCGATGCTCAAGCAGCCGGTCAGGATATACCTCAACTCGGAGAAAAATTGATCGCATGTTTACTTACCATTTGACAGTCTTACTTGCGAGCAAGGAGAAGCTAGCCATGATTGATGAGATCAGAGAGATTGACTTATTGGAATCAACCAAATTACGCGACGAATCGGGTGAAATCAAACACAAAGTACATACGCTCCAAGCTGAACTTGAGGCTAGTTTGGCCCTGGCCAGGGAAGCATGTGCTGAACGGGATGAGCTTCGGACAATGCTTGACAACAGACAGGCTGAGATTGCTGAAAGTCGAGTGGAAGACCAAGAAACAATGGAGGAAATGAAAAAGCTACTAGCAGATATCGCGGCACAAGACAGTGGTGGTGCCCCGGAAGCTACCCAGAAGTCTGGTGTGGAGCTCACGAAACAAGTCGTTGAGCTTATTGAGCGGAACCTAGAGAGACTGGCACAACGCGCTGAGGTCAGTGGAATCGAACCATGAAACTCTATTATCACACGCCGAAAGTTGGTGCTGAAACAAAATTTGCAGTATATCCACAACCAAAACGAACACATCAAGTTCCTCCAGCAGCGACTAAAGCATTTCGAAGACGATGCGGATGAAACCATACCGAAAGATCGCGAGGTAGGTAGACATGCCAGTATCTGTTTAATTTGCTCATATGCTACGTTGTTTCATGGATTGATAATTATGGACCCCTTACCCCGTCTTCTTAACATTTGCTAAATCATCACGATGTACACAGATCGAACTTCAGAAGTTAATCGACGCTCAGACGAGAGAGCTTGCTCTTATGAGCTCCGCCTGGTATGAGATGCAAAGTCGACTACAGAACAATAATGTTCCCGTCTCGAGGTATCGTCACGGGTCGAGTCTGGCCGATGCTCAGAAAGGCTGGTTGGCGAGGCAAAGGAGCTTAGTAGCTGGTCGTTAGGATGACTGGTACGTCCTAATTCGAAGACTAGCCCTTAGCAATATATATATGTTCCTCCTGCAATCATGTATTGTTTTATGGCTTGCACTTTTTCAATTTCGTTTATCTACATTTACTTCTCTCTTAGATTGCATTACCCTTTTTTGTCACTTTAACCTGTTACTAGTGTTGAGACAGAATAAGCCATATATAACGATAGAGCATGCCCTTTATATTTCGAAAATGATATGTTTATATGCTATTGGCCAGTCGTCTAGTTTCAGATTCTGTGCAGATAGGCCAACAGGAATATAAATTAAAGAAACGACACAATCTCCAGTTGACTTCTAGAACCACACTTGATATTATATTGTACAGATGAAGGGAAGACTTTACCTGAATTTTGGTCATGTGCCTTCATAATAATAATAACATTAACAATAATAGGGAGGCTTACACCCATTGCCTGGGGTGTCTGAGAACATCCATTAATTCCTTTTCACGCTCCTTGTCCTCGCCTAGGTTCTCTTCCTCCGCAGAAGCCTCGGTGCGGGTTCCTGACACCGGGTCCATATAGGCCCAGCTTGCGGTGCGAGGGAGACTCATCAATATACTTTCGATACGAGCGTTGGGGGTGCGCAGGCCAAAGCTGGTACCACGGTCATAAACCAGGTTGAATTCCACATAGCGCCCACGTCGAAGCTGCTGCCATTCTTTCTGAGCAGGTGTGAATGGCATATCCTTTCGGCGTTCAATGATAGGAACATAGGACGGGAGGAAGGAAGCAAGACTATCGGAGACGAACGAGAACAGAGTTTCCTGAGAATTCTGTGATGACGTGGCTGACGACTCTAGGAAACTGGCGTCCAGATCATCAAAAAAGATACCACCAACACCACGAGACTCTCGGCGATGTGGAAGATAGAAATATTTATCGCACCAGGCCTTGAATCGAGGGTAATATGTTGCGTCATGCCTATCGCAGGCGTCTTTGATGGTCTGGTGAAAATGCTTGACGTCCTCGGGGAACAGGTAGGAAGGGGTTAAGTCTGTGCCACCGCCAAACCACCAATTCTTATCTCCATTGATAGGATCCTTAGGGTCTGACGTCTCGAAGTAGCGGTAGTTCAGATGGACAGTTGGTGCCATGGGATTATGGGGGTGCAGAACCAGCGATAGGCCAGCAGCGAAAAATTCCAAAGATTCCACGTCTGCGCCGACAAATGATTTGTGATCTGCCCTCATTTTCTCAATAGCAGCCCGGGGCAATTCACCATAGACAACCGATACGTTGACACCTGCTTTCTCGAAAACATTGCCATCTTGGAGGACACAGGATATGCCGCCACCTCCATTGGGACGTGCCCAGGTATCCGTTTTGAACTGAGTACCATCAATCCGGCTTAACTCATCTACGATTTTTTTTGATGCTCTTTGATCAGTTTCTCCATTCGCAAACGCATCGGAGAGTTTTCGCTAATCGTTGCTTGTTTCTTCAACGCTTCGTCGAGCTCCACAATCGAGGGAGAGTCGAGTTCAGTTACTTCCCCTGTCATCTATATCCTTTGTTAGACCAAAACCATAACAAAAAGTGCCTTTTGGCCTCGAAACATATATTTACCATGGAATATATCAGAGCTCCGATGAATGGGACGCCAATGGCGAGTCGTAGGTATGGCCTCCACACGGTAAATGGTTTCGGTTCACGGGTTCGCTGCTCCGCTGAATACCTGCGAAATATATTCTTGAAGTTACAAGGTGCGCGTCTGCTCTGCGATGAGAAGTGGCAGAGTGACCTCCTAAGAGGCATATATGGCCGGGACAAGGACATGATTTTATAAAATGGAATTGAGAATTGGCTGATTTATGGAAGGATCAGGTGGTACCGGAACGATATGAGTGGGTGCACACTCTCTCAAATGGCTCCACCTATCATAAGGAATATAGGTAGCTCAATTCTGAAGTTACCTTCTCTGGATCAGACCTGTATGGGACCACCCGTAGTCAGGATATCTCGGATATAATGTTGTTTGCACTGTTTGCACATACAGTTATATACATCTCTGCTTAGTCATGGTATTCCAAGACAAATAGTTTGCTTTGTTTGCATCATTTGGAGGGTTGTCTATGTTTATAGGTATAGTCGTGACTCACATGGCAGCTTGCAAATAGTACCAGGTAGAGTGAGAGTTCTCATAGAATAGAGGCTATCGATACTTGGGGCTTGGACATGATTGAAATATGGACTATAAATTCCACGAGCAGAGCCTATCAAGAGCCCTTTATGGAGATAGCACGCACCAGTACACTAGCCGCTGATCAGGTGGAGGCTGACAACTGCCCACAACTACAAGATATCTTTGTACGGCACTCCAGGCCCAGTATCACCGGAACATCACTCAGGCACCCCACATGAAGATATGACGTGTGTTTATAAACTCCCTGACTTGGTTCAATGAAGATGACAAAAACCAAACAAACCAGGTCGAGTGAATGGATGACTAGGGGCATCTGACTCCCCGTGTGGGGCTGTTCACCGCCTCCACCCCGTGATCCGCTCTCCTGGCGACCTTATCAGCCGTGGAACTACCCATGACGCGGGGCTTTGCTCTCTCCCTTTTGTCATCATCCACCTTCTCCCTACTGCTCACCTTTGCACCAAACATCTCATTTGCATCGCTCTGTACCTCACACCATCTACATATTATCTCGTTGACGTACCTAGTACTCATAGTAAACCGACCTAGTTGTTTCCATTAACTGATTCGATCCATCAATATGCGCTCCAAGTTCAAGGACGAGCACCCCTTTGAGAAGCGCAAGGCAGAAGCCGAGCGTATCCGACAGAAATACGCTGATCGCATTCCAGTACGCATAACCCTATCTGAATTTGTACTTCTGTGTGATGGTTCTTTGCCCTTAAGCTACTCTTCCTCAGAGAGGCAAAATGTCTACTCACCGCTTGTTTGAAGTGCTAACTTGAGTTTCACCCGTAGGTAATCTGTGAGAAGGTCGAGAAGTCGGACATCGCCACTATTGATAAGAAGAAGTATCTTGTTCCTGCAGACCTTACTGTCGGGCAGTTCGTCTATGTTATCCGCAAGCGCATCAAGCTGTCTCCAGAGAAGGCTATCTTCATCTTCGTCGACGAGGTGTTACCGCCAACAGCTGCACTTATGAGCAGTATTTATGAAGAACACAAGGATGAAGATGGCTTTCTGTACATCACGTACGCTTTATTCTTCAAAGACGGGTTTTGGCACATATTGACATACTCTCTAGATATTCCGGGGAAAACACATTCGGCGACCTTTAAGCTCTAGCCAGCCGTTCTCTCAAGCTATGTAACTGTTCCACCGTTGGTATGTGTTTTGTTTTGGGGCCGGGTGTGTGACCAGCCACTCCGGAACGAGGCGAATGAGCTGGTTAGACCTTGCGGTGATTCTTCATGTGTGCAGGCGTTATATCAGGTGTTCCGTATTCCCGTTATGACCTTTATTGGCAAAGACCTTTTTAAAGTTTAAATGCAAATTACTTTTGATGTGATTATCTGGCGATACGTGCTGACAGGCAGTGATGCTTTCATCCTTATGTCGGGCTACATTACGTAGCACGCTTTTTTTGTATGCTGATGTGGTTAGTCAATTGATGGCAAGTAGCAAGAAATTCCTGGCAACATGTTCACATGTTCACAAATACTATGAATATTCTACTGGGTATGATCGAGACAGTCCTTTACTTAGTAGAGCATAGCTACATGGGACGTATCCGTTACATAACATAGTTTAGACATGAGATTACTAACCCGTCTCTCCGATATCAATGCCGATGGCCCAGTCCTGTTTGGGACTAGTGTTTGGTTCAACGTCGGGGAGGCCTTGAGGAAAGTCCGACTCGGCGCAAAACAGGCGATGACTGACCGGATCTTTGCATCTTCTCTTCACGTCCCTGGTGTTCTTTTCCTTTTGCACCTTTTAACTTCTTCTCTCCTTTTTGTTCGCTTGTACTTCTTTTGTTCTGCTAATTCAAGTACGTGCTTTGTTGCTTGTCTTTGATCTGATCGCTTTGGCACGGGCTTTTCACAAATAATCTATTGAAGAAAAATTTAACCATCGACGACTTTGGTCCCCAGCTCGAACAACTTCTCAACAAGCAAAGCAAAAAAGAAAAAATGTCTCCTGCCATTGCTGCGGCCGGTGCTGCCTCCAAGGATGTTAAGAAGGAGTCCGCGACTGCTCGACTTCTGGGTTCAGGTAAGTTTGTCCTTGCGTTCGTGAAATTTTTGGCTGCTAAGATAACGCACTAGGAACCGCTGGAATTGCGGAGCTCCTAGTTTTCCATCCGGTACGATTAAACTTTTGGATGATTTTTTGTTTTCGCCTTTCTAAAAGGTCTCCCGTAGTTCAGATGACACTAATGCTATCCAAAGGTTGATACAACTGCAAAGCGATTGATGAGCAATCAGACCCGGGTATGCACCACCGTCTTACATACTGTTTATCACATGTTTACTGATTGTATTCGGAGTTAGATTACGTCAATTGAAGGTATGAAACAGGTCGTTTTCAAAGAGTATGCCAACGCTTCCCTGGGGCGCAAGTTTACTTCGATGTTTCCTGGTCTTGGTTACGCTGCTGGCTACAAGGTATGTAGAACAGATGATACAGGCACGTGTCGCAATCGGCTGATAGGTCTCGACAGGTTCTGCAACGAATCTACAAATACGGTGGTCAGCCATTCGCAAGGGATTACCTGGCAAAACATCATGGTGCCGACTTCGATAATGCTTTTGGAAAAGGAACAGGCAAGGCTATCATGCATGCTACCGCCGGAAGGTTTGTTGTTCCCTCACCAGGAGAAATTTATCATATAGACCGTTGCTGAGATTTGAATAAGTTTGATCGGTATCGGTGAAATTGTCCTTCTTCCTTTGGATGTCCTGAAGATTAAACGTCAGACAAATCCCGAGGCCTTCCGTGGTCGCGGCCTTTTCAAGATCATCTCCGATGAAGGCATGGGACTCTACCGCGGTGCCGGCTGGACTGCTGCTCGCAATGCACCTGGATCTTTCGCGGTATGCTTCTGATCATTGACGACCCGGTCGATTATGCTTAGGATGCTAATCTGTAATAAAGCTGTTTGGTGGTTCCGCCTTCGCCAAGGAATACATCTATAACTTGCAGGACTATAATTCGGCTTCCTGGGCGCAGAACTTTGTGGCATCCGTCTGTGGTGCCAGTGCCTCTCTGATTGTGTCGGCTCCCCTGGATGTGATCAAGACTCGTATCCAGAACCGCAATTTCGAGAACCCTGAGTCTGGCTTCCGCATTGTGTCGAACATGGCGAAGAACGAGGGCCTCACCAGTTTCTTCAAGGGTCTCACACCTAAGCTGCTCATGACCGGGCCCAAGCTTGTTTTCAGCTTCTGGCTGGCTCAGACGTTGATTCCCGCGTTTGGCCAGGTCTTATAAACGAGAAGAGCACGGAATGGTATTAATAGCAGGCTTTAGATTTTTGGCTTTTTGTTTTTTCCTTTTTTCTTCTTTTTCTTACCTTCGTGCGGCTGTCGGTAGTAACATGATAGAACATACTGTCAGGCCCTTTGTATTTTGATAGATACTTTTATTTGGTATGATCGAATCATGGGTAAGACCTTGATCAAAAGAGTGAACTTCTCTTAATTTTACATAGCCATATATGATAGCTAAAGAATATATATATATATAAGCGCTATTCGGTGAGTCTGAGCCACAGGTATCGTCAGGGTCACGTATAGCCTTTCTTCTGATTTGTTTACATGGAGAACGGCCGCGCCCTTCAGGGCAGTCCATCAGAGTAATATCACGTGATCCATAGCACAACCTGATTTCATGATACCTATCACGACTGAGAAATCTCACTCTTATCTCAACAAACTGAACATACCTTGCTTCGCGGGAGGCAATAGCAGTTATGCAAATCTACCTAATTTCCAAGTACGTCGCAGATCCATCGTCTTCAACCAAACACTGTTCATAATATGTATGAATCGACGTAACTTGTTTCGAATTTCTGCAAAAACTAATACTATGGACTTGCGGATACATAGAGTTGGGGACCCCTTTTTCGCCTTCACAATAGGAGTCTCTGCTGCCTTCCTCCGGATCTGTCGGGACCAGCGCGAGAAATTCCCTGAAAGGGCCCAGGAAATCGGATACGGCGAGGTTTTGCAGATGGGAGGAAGAAGGTTACGCAGATGGTGGGAGGGGGATTTTGAGGGTCTATGAACGATGAATAGACGGCGGTATTTCCAGGGTCTGGTCGAATGAGGTATAAAACTCAATGTCAGTATAGACAACTGAAAATAATCGATCATCTCTATTCTCGACTATTTGCGTCTCAAGGTATCGTTAAAGGATGAACATGTGCAAATTAGCATCAGTTACTGTATTCTACGATACATGGACCAAATTTTTTAATGAAGAATGGAACGTTCGTAAGGAACTTTTTTCCCTCCCAGGTACTGCAAATCATCATGCGTCAAGATGAAACTCGGATCTATGCAGCCATGCACAAAAAGAAAATCCCATAAATTCGTTAAAAAAGAAACAAGCAGAGAGTATTAAGGAAAAAAAAACCCATTAAAAGCCGATCGCCCATCCGCAAACAGCAAGGTGAAAAGAAAAGAAAAACATTGTCATTCAAGACACTTAGTCAAGCTCTTCGGGCTTCTCCTCGACCTCGTCAGCGGTACGAGTGGAGCCACCGGGGGCAGCGCCAGGAGCAGCGCCAGGAGCACCGCCAGCAGCACCGCCATAAGCAGCGGAGATGATGGGGTTGGCAACACTAGAGCACAGTTAGCATCATATCAGTCATGTAGAAAAATCAAGGAGTTTCATATCACATACCCTTCAAGCTCCTTCTGCTGGGATTCGTACTCCTCCTTCGTGGCGGTCTGGTTGTTGTCGAGCCAGCCGATGATCTCATCAACCTTGGCGGTAACCGTCTCCTTATCGGAATCGGAGATGGTGAGCTTGCCTTCATTGATGGTGTTCTTGAGGGAATAGGCGTAAGACTCAAGGCCATTCTTAGCCTGGATACGGGAAGCCTCAGCCTCATCCTCAGCCTTGAACTTCTCGGCATCGGCAAGCATGCGCTCGATCTCCTCCTTGGAGAGACGACCCTTATCGTTGGTGATGGTGATCTTGTTAGTCTTTCCAGTGCCCTTCTCAACGGCAGAAACGTTCATGATACCGTTGGCATCAACGTCGAAGGTAACCTCGATCTGAGGAACACCGCGGGGAGCAGGGGGGATGCCAGTGAGCTCGAACTTTCCGAGCAGGTTGTTGTCCTTGGTGCGAGCACGTTCACCCTCGTAGACCTGAATCAACACACCAGGCTGGTTATCGGAGTAGGTAGAGAAAGTCTCGGACTTCTTGGTGGGGATTGTGGTGTTGCGCTTGATGAGGGCGGTCATAACACCACCAGCGGTCTCGATACCGAGGGACAGAGGGGCGACGTCGAGCAGCAAGATCTCGTTGGTGGACTTGGAGGAGCTATCGCCAGACAGAATGGCAGCCTGGACGGCAGCACCGTAGGCAACGGCCTCATCGGGGTTGATGGACTTGTTGGGCTCCTTGTTGAAGAAATCGGAGACAAGGCGCTGGATCTTGGGGATACGAGTGGAACCACCGACCAAGACAATCTCGTGGACAGAGGACTTGTCGATCTTGGCATCACGAAGGACACGCTCAACGGGCTCCATAGTACCGCGGAAGAGGTCCTGGCAAAGTTCCTCAAAACGGGCACGGGTGATCGAGGTGTAGAAGTCAATGCCCTCAAAGAGAGAATCGATTTCAATAGAGGTCTGGGCAGCGGAAGAGAGGGTACGCTTAGCACGCTCACAGGCAGTGCGGAGACGACGGAGGGCACGGGCGTAGTAGTAAGATCTGTCAGATACAAGTTAGCATTGGATTTTCCTGGTGCTGCAAAATGGGGTGAAAGCGATTGTGGGGGACCAAAAAGACACTAACCTTTCTTATTCTTGCGCTTGAAGTCGTTAACGAAATGGTTGACGAGACGGTTGTCGAAGTCCTCACCACCAAGGTGAGTATCACCAGCGGTGGCCTTGACCTCGAAGATGCCTTCTTCAATGGTCAGGAGGGAAACATCGAAGGTACCACCACCCAAATCGAAGATCAAGACGTTGCGCTCGCCCTCAGCCTTCTTGTCTAGACCGTAGGCGATGGCGGCGGCAGTAGGCTCGTTGATGATACGGAGGACGTTCAGACCGGCGATGAGACCAGCATCCTTGGTAGCCTGACGCTGAGAGTCGTTGAAGTAGGCGGGGACAGTGATAACGGCGTTGTTGACAGTACCACCAAGGTAGGCCTCAGCGGTCTCGCGCATCTTGGTCAGGACCATGGAGGAGACTTCCTCGGGAGTGAATTGCTTCTCCTCACCCTTGAACTCAACCTGGATGATGGGCTTGCCACCCTTATCGACGATCTTGAAGGGCCAGTGCTTCATATCAGACTGGACCTCAGCATCGGCATAACGACGACCGATCAAACGCTTGGCATCGAAGACAGTGTTGTGGGGGTTCATTGCGACCTGGTTCTTGGCGGCATCACCGATGAGACGCTCGGTGTCGGTGAAAGCCACGAAGGAGGGGGTGGTACGGTTACCCTGGTCGTTGGCAATGATTTCAATGCGGTCATCACGGAACACACCCACACAGGAGTAGGTGGTACCCAAATCAATACCGACAGCGGGGGCCATTGTGAAAAGATTTGGAGGGGTAATTCGTTAAAAAGGAGATAAGAGGAAAGGAATTCGTAACAGAGGGGGAATCAAACTCTTAAAGTAATGTACAGAGTAGTAGTCTCCTGTCTATAGAGGATGAGACCAGATAGGTTAAGGAGAAAAAAAATTTAATGTGTGAGAGAGAGATGGCAGAGATTGTGCGAGCACTACAGTTGATATAGTGGTGGGCGGTGAGTTTCTGCTCCAGCGAAACTTCTAGCAAGTCATAGCTTCCATGGGCATCCATGGGCTTCGATGGTCTTCGCCCACACGGGTCGGGCGAGGATTTTGATCGGATCTTCCCTTCCAGAATTCGCCAGTGGGGTTCTGGCCATTTCCATTGCCTTGGAGGGGATGCTACTTTTATTTTCACGATTATTCTAGTTACCTCTAGTAGTTGTAGTCTTAGGGGAAATAGAATAGTGAATTGAGTATTATTTTTCTTGATTAGAAGGGACTAATCGAACAAATATGATTTCACTACTAGGGGGTTTTTTTTCTTTTTCTTTTTCTTCTTCGTTTTCCTTTTTTGGTTTCCTCCCTTTGGTGGGGATAGTGGATGACGTAATAGCTGAACACTGCTTCTTCCGTTTGTACTCTTTCCTTTCCTTTCCCTCCCGTTTATTCCAAGACTACCACTGAACACAGGGTATGATTCACTCGTTTTAGTTTTGCTCTTGATTTCTTTCTTTTCCCCTTTTTCTCATGAATTACAACATATATAATCCCTACACAGTCATTTATTTTTTGGTACTGTAGACATTCAATACAGCATCTTCTGTTTCTTATGCCTTCCGTCATGATGACCAGTTAAATTTCTTAGGTTTCCATGGATCAACTATTCTGTGGAGTTGATGAATAACATTCACTTGTTCCTATCAATACCATGTGCAGAATATTCCTACTGCAATACATCATCTTTTCTCAATAGTGGTCAGAAAGTTTTACATGAAGTCATCGCTGGCCGATTGCATCCATTTAAGTGGATGACTAACCCTGTGGCAACAAATCACTATCTCCATACAGAGTCACTACTCAGTATAGGCATAATTCCTCACGGGTCCTTCCTACTACAGGTTATCTGCCACCCAAATATTTAAGTACCGTAAATCCCATCTCAGTATTGCGACAACTTGATATGTTCTGCCTCTCATATGTCCAAATTCCTTATAGGCCTCTATTCCTAATTTGGAACAACAATAAAGTAATTCGACTACCCGACGTATTCTACTTGACGGATAATATATATATATATATAGGTCGTCGACCACGCTTACCCTCTCTAGTTTGAGTAAACTACACCCCAATCCTGACATGCGACTTGCATGTCTACTTACTGGAGTTGCCTTAAGAATCAATACGTGATTGACTCTTGAACAGCATTGTGACATCCTCTTTACTTGGCTTCAACTCAGAATGTCGGATAATCTCAGATTGACTCTAGTATACTTTGTGACTCCCCACCCTTCGAGTTTGACAGGAAATCGTACGAATTCAGTAGCATGTTTATTATGACATTCCCAAAATGGAAAAGGTCGTCACGGGAGCAGCGCCGCTGATCCCCAAACCTCATAGCCAATCAGCGATCACTAGCTCCAGGGAAAGTTAATGTGAATCTGCTCCCCTTGCGACTCGAGCACTACAAACAATTGCTGCAACTATTTAAAGCTCCCCTTGTTGTGTTCCCCAATCTTAACATTAATTCACTTCTTACCAGGTTACATTATATCTGCTCCACGCATCAGCTCCATATCCTCGTCATCCTCTCTGAACAAGCACCTCAATCTTACTATCCATTATGGACAATAACCAAGCCAACACCCTGGGCAATGCTGCTGCCGCTACCGCACCTGACACCGCGGTGTTGGACAAAGGCAAGCACAAGGCTACGCAGGATTCTACCTCGATGGATGTGAGCATGGACGAAGGTGAAAGTGATGAGAGTGAAAATGAAGACATTGTAAGTCTACGAGACCCTCTACACTCAAATCAAGACACTCGATCTGACTGTTTCTCCTTTCATAGATGGAAGGTAACAACTGAAATTTTCCTCGAGGCTTAGTCCGCTTCGCCTGCGTTAACATTGAAACATATATTGACCCTGTCTTCCCATGCAGAAGAAGATGATGATGACGAAGATAAACTCGAGCCAATCTCAGCCGACAACATTATTCGTGGCGAGCGAAGGACACGCGGCAAGATCATCGACTTCCAGAAAGCCGCAGAAAAGTTCAAGGTTGATGAGGGTGACGATGATGAAGATGATGAGGACTTTACACTTGAAGATAATGACAACAACATGCGAGATTAAATCAGATTGCCTTACGGCTCACACAATCTTCTTGGAAAAGGGGCAGTGACCGGCGCCGGTCTATTGGCGTCTCGATAAATTTTCTGTTCTGACTCGGATAGCTGTCACGTCAACCACAATGTGTTCTTCCCGCCCCCGCTTTTTTTAAGCTTCGTTCTCCAAATGGCTGCAACATATATAAGACAGGATGTAGCAATTGATGCCTAATGACTACTATCCCTGTCTTGGCTCCTCTATTATACGGACCACTTGCTTGAGTGTTTACCAATCATGCTCAGTTTCTTCGACAGGATTGGGTTACAGACCTTAGGTGCACAGGACCGACCACAGAGGGCGACTGTGAAAGGCATATCCTTCGGTTTGCATGGTAGACGTTCTCCTGGGCTGCTCATGCCGGTCTAATAGCACCTCATACGAGATAGGTTAGTTTCGACAAAACACGGCATAGAATTGTGTTCTGCTGGGGTGAGCGAAGGCTGTAGTATCACAGGGCATACTCCTATAGCGAGGTTGACCCTGTAGTAAACAACATAGCTCAATCCTTGTTTAGGGCAGACCCATGGCCGACTGACTATATAGAGAAGCGGTTGTAGATCATTGTATCGTTGCATGGAATTATAAATAGAACCTACTTTTCACCAACATAGCATTTTAGTCAATCACACTTTCCAACAATATCACCGCTAGTTAGTAGTGCCAACAGTACTCGTAGGATGTAGGCATGTTTTGAACTTGGTACTACTAATGGTCTGTAAAGTGTTGATGGAAGTGGTCAGAGAGCACCTTTCCTGAATAGGAAGGCTATTCTGTTTACGGTAACCCGTCGTCACTCCCGATCCAAGAAAAGGCAAGGAAATAATGGGGTACTCCGTACTCCGTACTCCGTACTTGTCTATTGATTGCCGCAACCAGACCGCAGCAGCCTTCAACCACGGGGTCGGGTTTATTCAGATAACAACAACGAAAGCTTTGGTGTGTCACTCTACGCGATGCTGGCCAACTAGAATCTGGGAAATACCCTGTTCATGGTACCAGCCTCCTAAAATTTCTTGCAACAGGGTTGGACTTGTCTACTCACTTTCTGTCATGGCTTCTCGGTAAATTGATCGTGATCCTCCTCATTTCCTTTGGCTAACTATTTGATGGCATAAAACCTCAGATTCCCACGCTCCAACCTTCACCAGCGTGATCCTCGCGCATCGGCTTCCCTCTTTGATTCATATGGCGGCGATTCCAGACCTGTCAGTAGGTCGCCCGGCCGAGTGGGTGGTTATGGCTATGGAGGATATCCCAGCAATGGGTCGATTAATGAAACCCCTGTCGGAAGTGGATACAGGGCTGCGACGCCAAACGCGAAGTAGGCTTCAACGAGAAACTATTGATCGTAATGGAGCATAATCCTAATGCCGAAACAGGGGCCACTACTCCGATGCAGTTTTATCTCATCTAGAGTCGCAGAATGATGCCGAGGTAGAAGGTATCAGCGCAAAAGTTAAGATGCTGAAAGATGTAGTCTCCCTATCCCCTCATCTGGTTGGTACGTACGTTTGGGTGCTGATATTGAGTCTAGCTTACACTTGCTATTGGCGAGGAAATTCGGGATACTTCGACCATTACAGAACTTAATGATACATTTGACAACACTCGTCTTCGTATACGAGGCAACATGAGTCGCATGCTGCGGATGGCTGAGCGGACAGGCGTCGGCTGGCGTGTATGGCTGGCTTTCTTCCTGGCTGTATTCCTACTCTTTGCTTATGTGTGGATGAGTTGAACGGTCCGGTTATGGCTCTCTGCGAGGGCCCATGAATGCTCAACTCACCCTGTCTCCTCTGTGGCGACTGACGCATCATTACTCTGATAATTTGTTGTCCCAACTTATGCTCCTCGCCTCGCTGACAAAGATCATGAACCCATCCGAACCGAATAAATTACTAATGAATTCCTTGCTAATATATCTGATGATTGACAAACGAGCATGCCTTCTTGACTGTGTGTCCACCCTACATCCACCCCCTCCCCTCCCAAAAAATCTTTTTCTTTCTCGGTTCTCGCATACTTCTCCGTTATGACCGCCAGGGATGGATGGTGCTCAGTGACGTTGTGACTGTCGAATCTTGACCTCGATCTTCCATTTCATTCTTTTCTTTTTCTTTACTTTTTACGAGCAGCTTCAAGTTATATCTCTTGTACTGGGATGGTGGCTCTCATATTCGTTACCTTTATCATGATAATGCATGCGTGGAGCTCAGGCTAATATGCTTTGTCTAGTCTGGCTGTCTTTTTCTAATGTACTATTTTGTATGTATATAAAATAGCTACTTGGTGACTGATATAAAAAGGATGCTACTTTAACAGAATCCATCCTCTTTTCACTTGCAAATTCCCTGTCAGAGTGGGATGAATATTTTCTACCGATGAAAACAGGGGCTGTCTCTACAATAGAATCAGGTATACTGTCCGCCTTGGATGAGCAGCACCGTATTCACTCTCGATCATATAGGGCACTGGCCAGTCTACGAAAGACGTCCCTGAAGGGTACCAGGGCATAAATAAGATACGTGCTTGGATATATAGCCAAGGGAGTAACTGTTATTAATGTGCTCAATATGCCCAAGTCATCCGCAACGACAGTGCAACAGGTAAGTCTACTGAATAGTCTATCGATAGAAAGCCAGCCAAAGGTATTAAACACTCCAAACACGGCTTGGCGTCACCAGTGCCAAAATTGTCTTGTATTGAACACCAACCTTACAATCTGTGACTTGTGCCTGCATCCAGTACGCCATACAACCCTAAAAGATAACCCAAGTATAGATAGGTTCGTCAATATATAGGATCGTTGACCTAGCCATCAGTTAGACTTAGTCAAAACTATCCCTAGGTCCCCCAGCTCGCCGTCTGGGAAATCTGCTGAAAAAGCTTCGCCGACTACCTTGACTAGTAATAGATGCACGTAGATCATCTTCATCAATCATCATGCCGCTTGTGTCGATGACATCGCCACCGCCACTCCAACGCTGGAGGAATCGGCGTTGGGCCTCTGTCTCCTGAGCGCGAACAGGTGTTGGAGGTAGACCACGACTGCTGGTTGTACTGGCTCGGAGATTTTGCGTAAATGGATCATGTGAGAAACTGGCCTCATCTTCGTCATCCAACTCGGCATCTGTATCGGTATGTTGCCATTCATCTTCTTGTTCGGACTGGTTCTCTGAAGCCTCAGGGATATCATCGTCTAAATCGCGGCCCATTTCTTCCTCACTCATGTCTTCAGCACTGGGAATATCATCATCCAGGTCTGGCTGGTTATCAAAATCATCATCGATTTGATCGTCGTCATCGTCATCAGGGAACGCCTCAGGGATATCATCGTCCAAATCCCGTTCCATGTACCCCTCCTCGTCAACAACATCATCCTCATCCAGACCCTCCTCTCCTTCCTCAACGAGACCCTCTGCATCTGCGTCAGGAATGTCATCGTCCAAGTCCCTCTCCATTCCTGTGTCATCTTGTCCATCACCATGCTGTGGATTGAGCCCATCTATCCCAGCAGCCTCCGCTTCAGCATCAGCTACCGCAGCGGCCGCTGCCATCTCTGCAGTTGCCGCAGCTAGTGCTTCTTCCCTCTCCGCCTCTTCCTCTTTCATGCCCAGCATAGTCTTGGAGCATCCTGCAGGCTTGATCCACGAGTAACCGAATGAGGCGATGTTGTTCTTGCGAGCACGGAGCGCACGCTCTTCGAGGACTAATGACGATAAGGTATTACCGGGAGTGGAGGAGGTGACAAACGGACGTCCATTCATGGGATTGTTCGCATTGCGGCGGAGGTTTCCTTGCATTTCCCCATTTGTTCGGTGTTGGGACGAGGTACGGTGGGGTTGGGAGAATCCGAACCAGAGTTCATGAGACTTAACGGATATAATAAAGATATGTCAGTTATACATCCCGCTATCCCCAGATGTGTTTTGGGGAGGTCACGTACATCGCGGGGTGTGATGGGCGGTAGGGAGAGCATCATGGCTGGTTGAACCGCGATCAGACTCGGACAATATACCGCCTGAATTGCAACGCTCTTTATTGTTATCCAAGTTTTATATTATTCTTTCCGCTAGATTGTAACTGCGCTTAGATCTTTCGTATGCAGCGCAACAGAATACGCGGCTGCTTCTGTACGCGCGCCGATTACTGTTCTCAAGAGCCACCTCTCCCTGTGATGTTCAAAATAAATTGACCTGAACCGCAAGCCATGCAATTTCTTAACCCCCCAAAAAAGATGAAACGGTGTTAAAGAGTGTTGAAGGTAATTCAAAATGAACTTGCGGTGGGAATCCCATTCGGTAGTCACGAGGGGAATGATCGGAGAAAACAATTAGACCAGCTTAAGCTCCGCGGCAACGTGGGGAAATCCATCAAGTCGATCATTATACCTTAAATCCGCCTTAGGTTCGTTCTCTCAAACATGATCTTATGTGAAGTAACCCTCTTTAGCGCTTTGTTTTACCCATTCTTTTTTCAATTTTGTTTTTTCTTTTCTTCTTTTATTATCTTAGATATATATGTATATTTAGTTCATTAGGATGCCCCTTACTTCCTATAGGTTATTATCTCTTTCTCATTCCTTCTCCGCTTGCTGCCTCACTATTCTCACATTTGAAAGCTTGTAATGATAGCAATACGTACGACTATGTATTGCCCATAAACCCTACATGGGGAGGAATCTAGTAGTCATGGATGGCCGGAAAAGTACCGCTGATAGTCTGAAGGTAGTCACCACATTTAGTTCATGCAAGACCATCAGATTGCGACTCATGGAGAGGTTGATAACAAACGCACGCCCAAGCATGATAGCTATAGCTATAACATATATACACCAAATATGTGTCTCCACCAATGCGCCACTGTAAATCTAACGTGCCTATGATATCCGCGACGTAAATGTCTTGAAGTTCTAGCGCTAGAAAGAAGAAGTACTCCTCAGTTCTGACAATGGGAGTTGAGATGCGAATATTTCGCTGGTAGAAAGCAGAGAAATCTTCAATGGTGGTCTCTGATGCCTATCAACGAAAACTTTAAGTACGCTCACTACTAGTACCTAGGTACAGTAAACAAAGTACGCTGAGATTCTAGGGCGAAGTTTCAATAGAATACCCAGAAGTTTGCTCTATGGATGTTGTGTTAGTCCAAGACTAATTGACAAAAAGATGTAAGAAAAAAGCAGGAAGTACTAGTGAGCCTGAGAGCTGGTAAAGCAGAAGCCTGTACTCCGTAGACATTCCGTCAAGGCTTCTATGAAAAGGCACAGCAAGAGATTCCATTCCATACCGTGTCAAGCGGCGACATAGGATCAGACCATAGCAACGTCGTCAGTCATGCGAAATCTTGGGAAGAAACAATATAGGAAGAGAGAGATGCCGAAGTGGATCAGGCAATGCACTCGGGGGCTTCTACCTATACGTACTTGCAACGATCTTAGGATCCCAAATCAGTCTCCGCGTCGCTTCAACGAGAAAGTACGTAGCAATAACGGCACGGAGTGCTCCGTCCTGCACTACGTAACTCATCCACTCACACCAAAGGAAAGACAGATCATTTTGAACTTCTACAGCACGAAATAGTAAATAATTCCCCAAGATAATTGGCACTGTAATTTATTTGGGCGTAAGCAACTGCGAGAACATCTCAAACTTGGTATTCGGCCGTTTCAAGCAGTATTCCGGGTTATCCCGATGCCTTGCAGCTTTCCGCTCCGTCGACTGGCTCATGCCCGGTGAGCCCAAAGCGGACAAGACTGATCAGGAAGCATCGGGAGAAAACGGGATCCGGAAACATTGGCATCTCCGCCGATCATGTGACACCCGTGGCCTTGAAAGGGAGGAGGGAAGATGGAGCCTGGAGGCTTTTGCGAATACACAATGTGACACAGCCTACTCTGTACATGCCCCCCGAAAACGACCTGCACCATTAGCGAACTTTCTTTACGGAGTAGCTCTGAGTCACCCTCAATCATTTCCCGCTACCCTTCATCGTAAAGGATTTAGTTTCGGTGTTAGTTCGCCTGGTTCGGTCCTGGCACAGCAAGGATCGTTATCCCCCTTTAGGGATGCATTTGATTAGTTGATAACAGAAGAGCGCGAATACACCAGCTGGAGAATTGGTAGTCAAACCTTCGCTGCCCCTCTCTCAGGCGTAATCAACCTCAGGCCGGGACTCCCTTCACCCATAGGGATGGACAAGTGCCGTGTCCGGGAGTTAATTTTCAAGAGAGGAAGAGTACATGACCAAGGCATTGGAGGGAATTAATATCGAAGGTGCTGGTGGTCAAGGTCTATCTTCATCAAATGGA